CTGCTGAGGGGAACAACAGGTGGGTCAGGGGAGGTCTGCCATGCCATGTGGGTCACCTCCCTGTGGCACCAGGGAGGGCCTGGGCTTTTTTTTTTTTTTTCAGAAAGTTTTGTTATTACTATTACAATATTAATTTTTGTTCAATTCATATATTTCTTCCTGGGGTGGACTGTGTTCATCTAGAAATTTATACATTTCTGCAAGATTGATTCATTGGCATATAACTGTTAATAGTAAATGCTCGTAATCTGTTGTGTTTTTGTATTATCTGCATTCATTTCTCCTTTTTCTTTTGTGATTTTGTAAATTCTCCCCCCGTGTTTTTTTAGTCTAACTAGGCTTTTCTATTTATATTCTCAACATATCAGATCTTGGTCTCATTAATTTTTGGTCTCTGTTTCATTTGTCTCCACTCTGATTTTTACTATTTCCTTCTTTCTAGTGACTTTGTATCTTATTTATTCATTCCTTTCAAGTTGCTTTATGTACGATATTAGGTCATTCATTTGGGATTATGACCACTTTTACTGCATAGATTCTGGTAACTTATATAAAGATGATTCTGGTAACTTATATCAACATTTTTGCTCATCTCAAGGTATTTTTAAATTTTCTTCTTTAATTGCTGTTAAGCAGCATGTTGTTTAATCTCCAAGTATTCATAGTTTTTTTTTTCTAGTTTTATGACATCATGGTCAATATCTAAATATAATTTCAATTTTTGTTTTTTTTTTTTTTTTAAGATTTATTTATTTGTACATACAGAACTGGGGTACAGGCCAGAGGCTCAGGGGCAGTGAGAGGCTTCACCAGAGACAGAGTGGGGAGCAGAACAGGCAGATCAAGGAAGTACACTGCTGAGGGGAGCAGCGGGCGGGTCAGGAGAGGTCTGCCACGCCATGTGGTCTCCTCCGGGGCAGGCGGGAATCGAACTCATGCGGAAGTGGCTTTAGCTTCTCAGTGCAGTGCTTTAACCCGCTGCACCACCAGGGAGGGCCCAATCTTTGTGGTTTTATTGGCAATTGTGTCCCAAGATAAAGTCTGTTCTTGAAGATGTTCCATGGTCACTTTAAAAAACTGGTCATTTTTGAGTGAAGTGTTCTAAAGATGTATGTTTGACCTATTTGTTTCCTACTTACACATTTTCTTGTTGATTTGCCCATTATTGTAATTGGGGTATTAAGGCCCCTAGTTTTATTTTTCTTTTATCAATATATTTATTATCATCTGTTGGTGTCACATTTATCTTGATTCACCATCACTTGGTGTGTGTATGTATACATGAATACACACATACACATATATAAAAGCTTTGTTTCTTCTTGTTGTAATAAATCCTTAATCATTATATACTTTAATTCTTTATATCTTTTTACCTTTCTTAGCTGAAAATCTATTTTATCAGATATGAGTATAGTTCTTCCTGGTTTTTGTTTTGTTTGTTTTGGTTCCCACTTGCTAGTAGAACTGTCTTCAATCTTTAATTCTAAGTCTACTTGCCTTTGTTGTTGAGTTTCTTTTAAAGAGCACAATGTTGAAATCCATTCAGTCATTCTAAATCTTTTGATAGATGAGTTAAAGCCTTTTACATTTAAGGTGATTATTAAAATAGAAGTACTTATTGGCATTTTGTTATGGTTTTGATTTTTTTTTTGTTTGTCTTGTCCTATTTATTTCTTTGAGGGCTGCCTATTATGTTTTGTTTAGGTTCCATTTCCATTGACTATATATCAATTTCTATTACTGTTTATTTGAGCATTCTACTGAGTTTACTGTATGATGGACCTCTGTGATCCATTGGGTGCTCTGGTCTCTGGCTGGTTGTACAGGACCACATTGTTAAAGTTCTCATTCTATGGCACTTAAGCAATTTAGATTACTTGATATTACTGTCGATATTATTGTTCTATTTGTTGTAAACCATTTATGCTTTTTCATAAGCACCTTAGTGTTGATAAATTCTTTTACTTTTTTGTTTATTTATTTCTTCTTTATTTCTCCTTCTTTCTTGATTGTTAATCTTGGTGGGAAGTAGATTCTGGGTTGGAAGTCTTTTGTTCCTTAAATATACTGAACATCTCTTTTCAGTCCCTTCATGCTTACAGTGTCTATCCTTTTCATTGGTCTCTGCTTTATTATTAAATGTCTTGGTTTATGTCTATATGGTATTATTTTGTTTTGAACTGTTGGGGTCTCTTAGGTCACAACTTCTTGTTCATTTTCCAGAATGAGATTGTTTTAAGTGATTATTTCTTTAATATATTTTTATACCATTCTCTTTTTCTCTTTCTGAGAGTTTCTGTGGTATGGATGTCTTTAAATTGTCCCAGAAAATTCTTACCATTTTAATTCTTTTCTACATTTTTCCCCACCTTGTTCTATTTTCCAGTATTGTGTTTTCAGGTTAATTAATTCTCTCTATGATTCCTGTGTATCTGCTATCAAGACCCTCAATTGTACTTTTAAAATCAGCTATAGTGCTTATTATCCCTATCTTTTCTGAATGTAGCTGTTTCATATCTTCATTATATTTTTTCTGATGTTGCTTTACTTTATCTATTTTTTTTTTCTTTTAAGTTCCATCAGTGTTACCAGGACTATTACCCAGAATTCCCATTTCCCATTCTCCACATGGCTATTTAAAGGAGGGTAATACAAATAACATGCAAACCAGATCCTGCAGTGAACAAGATGTCAGGAATTTTAGCATAAATCAGGACAAATAGCTTTTTTAAAATGACTGCTCTGTGGTCTTTCTCAGGGCACTTGTTGTACATGGATGCAGAGGTGAGGATTAGAATCAGGGTGAGTATTTCAATGCCATGCAAGTAAAACCATGTGAGAAACAAGATGCTGGATGCTAGAGAGGATACAGGGTTTTGGTGAGGAGTCAGAAAATTCCTTGTAATTATGAAAGTCAGTAAATTAAAACACATAGACACACATACATATATCATAAAGAATATATATTATTCATGTTTCCACTTTTTTTTTTTCATTTCTTGGTTATAGCTAATTTCTTAAAATGCTTCTCAAATTATTTATATCATTCTTCAGAAATGCCTCCTAAGCATATTTACATCTGCAGCAACATCCATCATTTACTTTGTAGAATTTAGGTTCTGAAACTACAGACTATGAACTGAGTGGTTGATGAGTGGATATGGCAAGAGGGCTGGGAGTGAGAATTTTGATTCTTGCTCTTTTGTTTCTAATTTTAAAAAATATATAAATATGTATATATAAAATGTTTCATATAAAGCATGCATATATCAAAGTCATATATACTATATAAAATTGTGTGATATAAATTTCCATAGACTATACATATAAATATTGTTCACATATAAATAAAATAAAATGAACTGTATTGATATAAACATATATAACATTTAAATTCACAGTCACCAAGTTTTTCTTTTGTGTTATTAATTTTTATTTAAAGTTTAAAGTTTAATATTCCAACTTCCTCCTACAAATCTGGATGTAGTATATATTTCCCTGTAATTATTCTTTCACAGAGGGAACACTGCTTTACAACACCATACAATATAGGGGAATAGGTCCAGATGTCTTAAAACGCATGTCACTAAGGCATGCCCACCAGCACAGAACTCATAATTTTCCCTCAAGATGCATTGAATCAGGCCTTCCCTGGTGGTGCAACGGGTTAATGAACCACATTATGAAGCTCTCAGAAGCCACTGCAGCACGAGTTCCATCCCCCGCCAAGAAGTTGACCCAAATGGTGTGGCAGACCTCTTCTGACCCACCCACTGCTCCCCTCAGCAGTGTACTTTGTCAATCTGCCTCTTCTGCTCCCCACACTGTCTCTGGTGAATCCTCCTACCCACCACACCTCTGACCTGTACCCCAGTTTTGTAAGCTTAAATAAATAAATCTTTTTAAAAAATTCATTGAATCCTTTCCTTTAGTTTCCTACTTTCCCCTCCCCCTCTGAGCTCTCAAATTTGTGGTCATATCTATATGGCTTATTTTGGTTAACTCTGTTCCTCCCTTCAAAATACTATTTCTTGAATCAAATATTTTGCTTTTAACTGACTGGTGGTAAGCCTAATTAAACAGTGTCAGCAATATTACCATTAGCTCTTTCTATGGCTGTCTTAATTATAGCATCTTTACATGGGACAGCTTGATAGGCCATTACCAGACATTACTACTCAATAGGCTGGTTTCTAAAGATAGCATCAAGAGCCATTTATATCTTGCTTGAAATAGTAACCTTTGACAGTAAAGTCCAGGGAAGTACTTAAAACACACATACATACATGCATATATACACACATATGCACAAACACACACATACACACTAACCTAGTAGCCAGCCAGGATTGGTTTGGTTTGTTGTAAGTTATTTTCCATAAAGAATGAAGAGCATTTTTCAATAAAAAGGAAAAGTGTACATAACACAACAAAACTGTTATCAGAAAGGGAAAAAAAAAAAACTAAGAGCATGCCAATATCATCAGACTTTTTTTTCAGCAGTGAGAGCTGTGTAGGAATCCTTCTGTGAACCATAGAAATAATAAATGCTGAGTCCATTGGAACATAATCTCAATCAGCAAGATGCCACTGTTTTCCAGATTTCCTTCCAGGGCCCTGCTAATTCCATGCCAAAACTAGCAGTGGATTTCTTCCTTCTAATCTCCCCTAATGCCTTTTTTGATTATTGTCACAGCTCTCTGACCATGCACTGTCCTTCAGATTTTCATTTCCCAACTGAGTTAGTCAGAGGAGGCTGACTGTCCATCGGGATAGCGTTAAGTCCACAAGCCACCTTGTTCCATGTGAAAATATAGAAACAAGAGTAAAGGGAGCAGGGGACCCCTTAAAGTTTTGCTGGCAACCTCCACATCTATTGGATTACTGGCTGAAGGCAAACCAGGAAAAGGGAGATGAGGGTTTTCAGAAGATTTCTCTAGTTGATTGGCAAAGGAAAGCTGATTGGGGGAGGAGGTAGCAGGAGACTGTGGTGTAGGATGGCATCGCTTCTACCCTGGCTGTACGTTACACTGTGGTAAGTAAGATTTTTTTCTTATTTTTCCTTTTAGCTTTGAGGAAAGTAGAGGCACACACCCATGGGTGGTTTTGCAGAAGCAGTAGGGGTTGTGTGGTGTTATTGTTGGGGTGGGATAGACAAGATATTTTGAATAGCATCTGTTCCCTGAGGCTGGCAGTGAGGATTACTGATGGTCTACCCACAGGATAGAAAATGCCCTAGGGACACTTGAAGATGAAGGAAACTTCTATTCAGAAAATGTCAGTCGGATCCTGGACAACTTGCTTGAAGGCTATGACAATCGACTAAGGCCAGGATTTGGAGGTAAGAAGCAGCTTCCTTACTACATAAAATATTCGCATTCTGCTTCACTAGGTTCAAAGATCCAAAGGTGTGGGGAGGACGGGAGAGCGAGAAGGTGCAGGGGTGTGGAGAGAGGACATGTGTGTTCCCATCTAGCTCTGCCCCTTCCTCATTACTGACCTTATTATATATAAGTTATCTGAACTCTGAGCCTGTTTCCTCAACTTTATGATGTGTGTACCCTCACCATGTAAAGTTGTGTACTTACTCAGTTTCCTCCTGTGGAACACTTGTTGTGTTCAATGATATCAGTATATATAATCATATTAATTTTTATTAAAATACTACCTATTTCTCTCCTATTCCTTAAATTCTACACACTAACCAGACCAAAAAAAAAAAAAATTCAGATCTTAAAAACTCAAGGGGAGGGTCTTGGTGGTCGAGTCACTGAATTCTGTCCACAAATGCCTTTGGAGATAATTGACTGCATCCCATGGGGCTCTTTTCAGGTGCTGTCACTGAAGTGAAAACAGATATTTATGTGACCAGTTTTGGGCCTGTGTCAGATGTGGACATGGTGAGTGAGCTCAGAGTGAGGAGAACAATTTTAGCTGTAGGGTGGGAGGAGGGAGGTTGAGTCCCATAACTCACCACACTGGGCATTGTTACCAAGCCTGGCTTCTGATCCATGATGTCATGTGTGGAGGGGGGCTGCTGGGAGGGCAGGGACATTAGAGCCGATTAATAACTTACCTACAGGGTCACTAAGGGTTCTGCTGAATGTAGGCACTTGTTACAATAATGTTCTCTCTTACATCTATATACCATAAATGGTATATTGAACCAATTCTTCCCTACAAGAAGATTGTCCCCATCTTTATGAAGATGGAGTAACAGCATTGGATGCTGGAAATACAGCAATGATGTTACACTAGATAAGAGTAAAGAAGTTATTTAAGAAACTTAAAATCTAACTGTTTTTTGTAGTATATCCCTTTCAGTATATTGTACTGAAACAGTAAAGGGAGTCATTTGGAAAAATCTAATGAATTCCACCTTTACATGGCAAAAGTACCAGCAGGTGTTCCTGTGACTCTGTTCCAGGTACAGATGGCTGTGGATCTGTAAGAGGGTATTTATAGCGATGGCAATAGAAACCTGAATCAGTCTTTTAGAACAAAGTGTATCATGATATTCTTTCATAGTTCTCCGGTACCACTTTCCCCCAAGAGTAAAACATCAACACTAAAACTGAAGTAAACATAATTATCTTTAAAGATATATCATTACATTTTATTGAGGAAATGTAATTGTGAAAAAAGTTATTAAGAGATATTTGTTTTAAATCTTTGCCTTTTGAATTGACATGGACATACAAAAAAAGAAAAAGTAAAGAAGGGCAAAGAAAGAAGTGAATTGGGGAACAAAAACATTGAAAGAAGGGCAAAGAAAGAAGCAAATTGGGGAACAAAAAAATTGGGGGAGTAAGAAAGAAGACAAGGAACAGGGAGAGTGAAATTGCTTTTATTTTAAAAATAAACATTTTAACACCTGAGAGAAAGGAGAGTCAGCATTATCCAGAATCCTCAAATATTTTGCAATTACAGCTGTCATTTCAGCACTGACTCACCCCAAGTACAAATAACTGTCTGTGCTGGGGAAGTCTGAGAATATTTGGAAACTTACTTTACGCATGCCTTTCCTTTTTAAGTACATTAGCTTTTTTTTTTATAATCTGGACCGTTATTACTTAGATTTTTATGTATCAATTATATTTGCAAAATATAGTCACTACTTACAGTAACAGCTGTCAAAAAGGAACAGATAAAGTAGACAAAGCAAGAATTGGTGATATTTTGAAATAGCCACAAGTTATCATTTATTGACTTTTGAAATAGTCTTTACAATAATTTTAAGATTTTAATGTGATTTCATAAAAGCTACGTATTAAAATTCATCATTTTGATTATGCTTACTTAAATGATGCTACTTGCTTTTGTGTTCTCTGAGAACAATATAAATAGTTATGATATACAACCAGGGAAAATTTAAATTTATCTAACTGGGAACTTGACTGAACAGCACCAGGATGGCCAGGAAAGTTTCCAAGACAAGTAAGAAACTAAGGAACAGTTAGCCTGACTGATGGAAGGTAGGTCAGAACTAAAGCTCAGACTTTAATCCTCTTCACTGACTGTTATTCTAAAATACGGAGGGAAATAGGCCCATGGATGACTGATATTTTGGAAAACAGGAAGAACACTGAGGAGAGTCAAGGAGGCAGGAGGGTCGAATAGTACAGTATTATCATTTCTGATAATGTCACCAACTTTGAAATTGAAAAAAAAATCACTGCAATTATAACTTTCATCTGAAGTAACTGTCATAAAAAGCTGCTTTATTTCTTAGGTTTTTGGATTGGACATATGATAGTGAATAAACTACTCTTAACCAACCATCTTCCAGACTGCCTGAGTATTTTCTTCTCCCTTAGGAATATACAATGGATGTTTTTTTCCGCCAGACGTGGACTGATGAGAGGTTGAAGTTTGGGGGGCCAACTGAGATTTTAAGTTTGAATAACTTGATGGTCAGTAAAATCTGGACGCCTGACACATTTTTCAGGAATGGCAAAAAATCAATTGCTCACAATATGACAACTCCTAATAAACTCTTCCGAATAATGCAGAATGGGACCATCCTCTACACCATGAGGTGAGATTTTCCCAATTCTACTCCTTCTATCCAAATAATTCACCCATCACCCTAACTCAGAACTATTTATTTCAATGTTCCTAGGCTTACCATCAATGCTGACTGTCCCATGAGGCTGGTTAATTTTCCTATGGATGGCCATGCTTGTCCACTCAAGTTTGGGAGTTGTAAGTTACAAAAATGTTTCTAAGAGTGAAATAATGATTCCAAATATGTGACTGTTTGGTTTTAGTCTGATACTAGAAAGCAAAAAAGTAGTATTACTATGACACTTTGGGCTCCAAGAATACACTTCTGTAATTATGTCATCATCAATCTTACATTTGGAGGTTTTAGTCACCCAAAGTAAAGAAAAACAATAAAGGAAATTTACATTTGCATTTCCTTTTCACATGGGCAAGTTTTGCTTTGAAAGAAAGAAAAACATGACTAGTGGAAGCACTGCTATGTTTCTTTTTTAAAATAAAATTCAGATGCTTACCCCAAAAGTGAAATCATATATACATGGAAAAAAGGACCACTTTACTCAGTAGAAGTCCCAGAAGAATCTTCAAGCCTCCTCCAGTATGATCTTCTTGGACAAACAGTATCTAGTGAGACAATTAAATCTAACACAGGTAAGACTTGAATTGATGCATGGGTGTATTCCATCAAGATGTTTCCATGGCACATTTTTAAAATACCTGTTTTGTTTTTCTCTGCTAGTAATACACAGTTAAGCTTACTGCCTTGAAGTGATGAATAGCTTTCTTTAAAATTTATTTTGCAACAATGTGCATATAAAGATTTGTGTAGTCTTGGAATGAGTAGTTGTACATATATGACACAAAGAATTGCATCGAAAAGAATGAGCTTATGCCTCAATCATTTGCTTTGCCATACAATGAAGGATGCCTTTGCTTTTCTTCCTTTCTGTTAATTTAAAGGTCTGCAATATACATTTCAAGTTACATTCTTTTTGTACCCTGTCTAAGCAATAATCTTGATATCTATGTTTCCTAACAGGTGAATATGTAATAATGACAGTTTATTTCCACTTGCAAAGGAAGATGGGTTACTTCATGATTCAGATATATACTCCTTGTATCATGACAGTCATCCTTTCCCAGGTATCCTTCTGGATTAACAAGGAGTCTGTCCCAGCAAGAACTGTCTTTGGTAAGTCTCACTTCTTGGCCTCCATTTCCATTTCTTCTTCACCCCAGGCTTGTATATTTTAGGTGAATATTCACCCTGGTGTACTTGTTTGGCACACAATAGCAATATAGCCTCCAGTCTCATTCAGGTATGTGTATCATGTAAAATGACTTTCATCTTATTGCAAGCTATGTGATGAACAATTTGTTTCAGCAGTTATTCTAGCTGGCTTCCTGTGACTTTCATGTGTCCTATATAGAAGCTTTTTTTTTTTATCTCTATTAGCTTTTTTTGCAGCTAAGGAAGAGTAGAAAAGTAAAAACTGACATATAAATCCATGACACAAAAAAGCAAAGTTCTTGGACCTGCTAGCATGTAAATTGTATCTTGTTTTTGTTAGATCAGTGATTAAAAATTGCCTTTTTGGTAGGCCTGGAAATCATTAAATGTCACCAGTTTTCTGTGGTTCCAACTCAAATATTTAGCTGTTTATGATGGATAGAATCACAACTATCTTTGAAATTATCTTTGGATGGAATAAGAGAATGAACTGTAACAGAAAATACCATTAGTAAAAAAAAATCATTTTTTTTTTCTGAGTATTCATGATTAGTAGGGAAGACTTGGGTCTAATTGTAATCTGAGATGAATTATAACTCTTTAATTTACCACATTAAAACATAGTTCCTTCTGAACAATGTAAAAGAATAAATATACAATGTTGGTAAACGTTAGTGCTACATATCTCTAAAGTATATAATTCCTCCATGGCATATATCAGTACATATTGCTGGCAAGTGAGTGATGAAAAGTGTTTTTCATGAGTAACATCAGACTAAAACTAAAAATAATAATAATAATAAAAATTGAAGGACCTAACTTTATATTTACTATTTCTCCAGATAAACTTCTCTAAAGTGATGGAAGACAGTATCAACTTTTAAAATTGACCAGAAGTTCAAGGTTTCTTTCACTTGATAATATTAAGTTTTCTCAAATAGTAAAAATTAGAATTTATTCATAACTTAAATTTTACAATTGATTTCCACAAATATTTTTGAGCAACTACAATATACACATCATCATTAGGTATAGAAGGATTCCAAATAGTTAACACCTGTGATAAAAACTGTGAACAACTATTATAAAATAATTCCTCCTTAGTTGGTGTCAATGACTGAAGAGGGGCTCAGCTAGGAAAGCAAGCATGGGGTAGCTACAGTCTGATGGTGGGAAGGGAACTCAGCTTTGGTGGTGGGTGAGGTGAGGTATAACTCTGAACTACAGAAAAACAAGTAATTGTAAATCAACAGGATTATATTTTTTAAAAAGTATCTTTGTAGAATGGTAAGTCCTCTCCACCAATATGTTCTCATCTGATCACAGAATCCCCAAAGATAACACTGCCTTTCCCTTTCTTTTTTTATTTTAGGAATCACCACTGTTTTAACCATGACCACTTTAAGCATCAGTGCCCGGCACTCCTTGCCCAAAGTGTCCTATGCGACTGCCATGGATTGGTTCATAGCTGTTTGCTTTGCTTTTGTCTTCTCTGCACTCATTGAGTTTGCAGCTGTCAACTACTTCACCAACCTGCAGGCCCAGAAAACTAAAAGGAAGGCACAGATCGCCACCTCACCCCCTGTGACAATATCGAAGGCGACGGAACCTTTGGGAGCTGAGATTGTATTGGTAATTGTTTACTTTTCCAATGTTGCCTATCTTACAGGAAAGGATAGTTCAAACACTGATCAAAAACAACTATGTAGATCAGGGGTAATGTCAGTTGAGTGCAAGGCAGGTAAATCTAGCGAGTTTCATATCCAACTTCACAGAGAAAAGCCAAGGCACCATCCTTCATATATCTTTGCTCTAAACCGTTGGTATCCTTCTTTCAACCTCCTCACTACTACTCACCAATTCTGAACTCTCACAGGAAAGGAGAAAATTCTTCTCAGACTTTAGATTCTGCCTTTGAACAGGTTCAGCTATACCAACTGGTGAGAATAAAGTCAGAAAAAGAATGTTCCTAATGAGGCTTCAGAGTTTGCAGGAAAGAAACAGGATTCCTATCAAATGCATGGTTTTGCTAGAAAATTCTTGCGGCTTTATTTCAAGGCTCATGAATGCTGAGTCATAAGCTAAGTATTTGGTTCATGTGAAAATAAATCCAATATTCATGTATTAGGTGCATGTATATTGAGGTTTTTTTACTCAAAGACTTATATCAATAGGACGTACCTAAAAATTTAAGTTCGGATTTACTATGGTTAAGCTCTGGCACCACAGGTTTGTTGACTAATAAACAAACAATAACAATAATCACCCAGGGGTCATTAATTTGCTTGCCCCAAGTTTACAACAATTAAGTATATTCCTGCACTTTTTAAAATGGGTTACATAACTGATTGATAAGTATATATATATTTTTATTTCAATACAAACTCCAGAAGTATCTTTTAGAAAAAGAAGAAAATTTGGTCCTGGTAATTTTTAAATGAATATTTTTGTTTAATAAACTAAAAAAAAAAAACCCAGAATTTACATTTTCTCTAAGGGATAAGACCATTTACAAGTTAACTAGAAATGGATAATTTACATATTTTTTCCTGAGTTTGCTCTCATTTAAAAAAAAATAAAAAGCTTGCTTCCCAGTGATTTAGATTATAACCTCCTGTTATAAAAGAGGAGACAAAGTTTCAAGAGAGGAAAGGTTAGTTATGGTTCACAGAAACACAGGGAATTTATTCCATAACTCCTGATAGCCAGACCTTATAAAAGGCTAAGGAATTCCACACCCTGGGAATTCCTCGAAGACTAAAATGCGCTAGAGAGAAACCACTGCATAAAATATTCTAATATTTCCCAAATGGAGGTACAATATTCTCCAAATACTTCCCTTGACTTACTGTTTTCTTTATATGTGAACATGTTTTAAAAACTCAAAAAATATAATTTCTATAACAGAAATGTCAGTCTGAAGACTCAGTCCAAAACACTAGAAACCATTTTTTCCATCAAAGATATTCCATCAATGATATATACATTCCAAATACTTTTTAAGAACTATTTTTCTTATAAAAACAAATAATTACATTATAAGCCATCTACATTTATATAGGTATATAACTTACACATTGTTTAAATTTCATATATTAGCATTATCTAAAAAGGAAAGAGAAATATCAAAATTTAGTTTGACAGTTTCTTATTTAAGAAATACATTAAAAATAAAAAGAGAAGTTCTTGAGAAACTGTAAAAAATAACTCCAATGGTTTTCAATGTGTTCATGGATCAGATCCTGAGATAAAAGGAGAGACTTCCTTCAACTCTTTGAAATATATATTACTGAGAAAACTATGGTTTCAAATCCTTGGAGAAAGCATAGAATTATTATTCCCTGAGGCTATTATTTTAAAGGTACACTTTATTAATAAGATGGAATTTGAAATCTCAGGTCTTCTTATATACTATCTTCTAACCTTCTAAAATAGTAACATATAATGAGCAGGTCCTTTGGGAAGGTAGATAAAAAATGCATTAAATCGTCTCAAAGTTCTCTTTTTCTTGCAAGTTGCTTTATTTCCCATGAAAAAGTGTATTTCTAAACCTGATTCCACCTAAAATATTCTAAGGCAATAAAAAGTCAAAATTTTGCTTCTATAAGGCAAGGCAAACATATATAAATAGAAATCTAAATAGAACCAAACCTAACAGTACAAATCTCAAAGCAACATAAATAAATATAGATGATTACATAGCACATTTATATTTTATTTATTCATGTCAAAACTTAAAGTTTTGCCTCATGTAATATAGAATAACAAATATAAATTACACATTTGCAATTTATACTACGCAATGGAATATTATGATTGCCAGGACATTTTTTTTTTTTCTTTCAAATACCATGACATTTTAAAATGCCTATTCGGTTGTAATCAAAATAACTTTCTTTGAATAAGTTGTACTTTGAAATAGCAAAGCAATGGGGTGATGTTGGATTGAAATTAAGTGCTTGAGTATTTCATGTGATTCCAAGTTGTATATTTTAAAGTGTTCATTACTTTTCACAAGGCACTACTTAGGATGAGTGTGGGAACAATTTATTAATTTTATTTTGACCTCGAAATTTAATATCAGTAATGACAAGAAAATTTAGGCATTTTAAATCTGTTACTAAAATCTGAAGATAATACCTAAGTATAAATTCTCAGAAGTACTTAGAAGACTAATTCTCACTGATTTTCAGGCATTTGTAATTTGAAACGTTGTTTTTAGATTTTGAAAGGAAATTGTCCACAGCTTCTTTCCTGCTTATAATGGTATATTTCCTTATTTATTTGTTTGTTTGTCTATTTGTCTATTTATTTATTTATTTAAATTCCAGCATGCTCTCTTGGCATTAGAGTTATTCCTGCTTCAGCATTGAGTCTGGGATGTACTTAGGCTATATATCAGATCAAATTTGAACCCTGATGTCTTTTTGGTTGGTTTGCTAGTTACCTTGTTATTTTTAAGTTCTAAGTCCTCATCACTATGCTTAAAAAAATAATCTTCTCCCAACCACATCAAAAAAAAAATCCAATATGGTGTCTCTTTTTTTATAGGAGATATGATATATCAATATTTGGAAAGTTGTTAGCAAATAAAATTGACCAAAATTACTTTAGTTGGGATAATAACTACCTTTATACTGATTGCATTGTTTATTCATTTCCTCTTTGTTCTTTGTAACTGGCACCCACTTATTGAGTTCCTATGTATTCATTGAATTATTCATACCGTAAGTATTTAAAGTGTGTTTACATGCCAGATCCTTTATAGACTGCTGTGGGCACATTGGTGGGTGTGATCAAGGGGCCTCATCCCTCATGGAGCTTCTTGTTCAATAGAAAGAGACACAAGTTAAAGTGCTATGACAATACATGGTGATAAAAGCTATAATTAGAGATCTACAGTAGACTGAAGAAGGGTGATGCAGGAACACCTAGCTCACTCTGCAGGGGTTTCCAATCTGGATGAAGTGATGCCTAATCTGAGAACAGAAAGATGAACCTGGCCCTGCTCGAGAAGCACTTAAGGTTGTTGCATACCAAAAAGAAATTTGGGCACAGAGACATATATCCTTTTACTTTCTTTTTCAAGATGGGGGTGTCTTGAAAAAGACACCTGGCTATTATCATGTTGCCCACCTGATATACAGAATACTGGAAGAATCATCTCTCCTTTTTCATATATTGCTGAAATTTCTGTCAAGTACTCTCATTACTAACTAAAATTAAGGGTTCAATTCAGATCTTCAGAGAGTCTATGTCCCAGAAAGATCACAGTGTCCCTTCCTCAAGGATGTGCCATTGTGTGAGTTAAGAGAGGTTGGGGTGGATGAAATGCAGACTGTTATCTCTCCCTATTTGTCAGAACCCTGCCCAATATTCTATGCTACACCTTCCAGGCATTTCTCTATAGTTCCCAAGCATCATCCCTGCATTGCTAACCCACCAGAGAGATGCCATTAAACTAACTGTAGATCTCTATAGAAATTCTGAATCATCTCTGTTCCTCACTCTAATAGTTGTAACCAAAAAAAAAAAAAAAAAAAGAATTTATGACATTTTGTTTTCTCCATAATGAATAATATGACTGTTTTTTAAAAGTTTCAAATGCAAAATATTTTGAAAATAATTTCTCATATTTTTAGTGCCCCTGTTTGCTAGTTGTAAAAGCAGCTGGGTTGTTTGACCTTTGAGGAATGCATGGTCAGAATCACTCTCTGAGATAGTCCAGTGCACCTGGTCTTTAAGGCATTAGGCTTTTAGGCTTATTCTATATTGTATTAAAATTGCTCTAAGTTCTCCCCAAATGTTGTACTCCCTACACCAAATGATGAGTCTCATACCAGTCCAGTTTGACTCAAAGTACCTTTGCAATATGGTGTTACTTAAAACAAAGCAATATTCTAAAAATACCCAGAGCAGGATGGCATTCAGCAGCAGGGGAGCATTGGAAAAATTCAAAACCATAGGTGTTCCACTCAAAACAGTGACAGCCCCAAGCTGAGCCCTCATCTGGACTCTAACAAAAGCCTATTTTACCATCAGCCAAAGCTGCCAGGCATACAATAGAGCAGGCGGGGTCTGATGCAAACCTGTAGCTTGCACGGCTTGCAAGACTGACTTTCTTTTCATTTTAGAAATTTAATGTGATTCTATTAAATTGGCATCCAGTCTCCTCATGCTGCCAATTCCCAATTATCCAGAAGCTGAATATCCAACCTGTGGGTTAGCAAGGTCTCTTGAATGTCCTTTAGGTGATCATATTTACTGCCATTTAGAAATGTCCCAAACCCACTGGTCAGTGGAAAAGTTGCACCTCTGGACCACCAGGGATGCAGGGTGGGTGAACCCTCCTGCCTCTCACCTAGAGAATGTTTGAAAAGGTATGTAGAAATTGTTAGTTTTTGCAGCTCCAGAGAATGAGTATTACAAGCATGTGCTGATTAGAGGTCAGGGTTGCCTCTCAATGCCCATGATATGCAGGACAGTTGTCAATGACAAAGAATTATCCCTTCCCAAAATCTCAGTAGTTCTGTGGCTAAGAAAGCTTGCCCTAAACCCTAAAGCACATGGGAAGAATAACTTTCTGCTGAGAGTATATTTGGTCTTTGAGAGGGACGCTGAGATCCTTGCATAAATCTTCAGTCACTCATCTTTAAAACGAAAATAGTACTAATATTATGTTGTAGATTATTTCTAGGAAAAAACAAAATGATGCATGCAAAGTGCCATATAGTGATTATCAGTGGTAAGCATTTAGAAATGATATATGTAATGTAATGTTACAATCTAAAACACTGTTTTAAAATATAAGGCAACATAATCATTAAGTTTTTGGTCTCTTCTTGATGCTTGACTACTCTAAGAAATCTTGGAAAGTGTTTACATTTTCCCCCAGTTGTTGATTTTTAGCATATTTATTACGCATATGCTACATATTCTATGCACTGGCAACTGAGCATTCATACATGAGAATATCCCTTTTACCATCAGGAAATGCCATGCAGGAAAGAACACAAGTCACAACAGAAATAATATTTACAAGGAAGAATTTGGTAACTGTTACAAGAGTTGCAACAGCTAAGTAAGCAGAAAAATGTAGTACACATATATTTTTGTAATATGGGAATATATCTTACATTTTCTTTCTCAAATTATTAAAGAAATTTAAAAAAAAAAAAAGCAACTTACAAAGGACATAATTGCCGGTAACTTTAAAGTGGAGTTTGAAGCTTAGGGAGTGTCTAATTCAAACAACAGGTGAATAAAGAGCAAGGGGCTTTTTGACCCAACTGTTCCCATAGGTACAACCCTGGAAACCCTCAAAAAAGTTTCTGGGGCAAGTGGGTGAGAAGTGAGATCCTAGTGTAAGGAGCCTTTGATTGCAGGCTGCAGCCACACTGCTTCTATTTTCTTGCTTCTTGGGCCTGAATGATGCTCCTTCACTCTGGACAAGTGTTATTTGGCAATTCTCACTGAGTCATTTGTGACAATGTGACTATACCAACAGATTGACAAATAATTTCCCCCATTTCCAAAGAAGAGGGGGAGATAAAACATTGTGCTTCATTTTTATGGTAGAATACATTTTCAATCACTTTTTTTATCTCAGTGAGCTTTTTCATGACTATCTTCTCTCTTTCTAACAAAGGAGGTAGCACAGGTTTCAGATAGTCAATGCATGCCATTAAAAGTCAAGATGAGTTGAGAATGGAAATCTGCTCTGAAGATGTGCCCTTAGATATTATATCAGATAACATGATTTGTTCCAGCTATTGGGAAGGGAGAGAATTCTTTTTAGAGGATGATACAATAGCATATTTCTTTTTTAGGTAGAGAATATTTTCATAACATATTTAATGATTAAAGTACAACTTTGAGTTTGAGAACCTAACAGAAAAGTTTTGGAAATGGTGCTGTATCTTTTTTCTAAGAAAGGCAGAGTGCCATTCAACTCCAAGTAGCATACTCCAGCTCTCTTCACTCAGCCTGTTGGCCCTAGACACAGTTATTGTCTGCTGGCACTTTGAGTGTGTGTGTGTGTGTGTGTGATTTCAAATAGTATTTTTTTTAAAAAATAATATAATAGTTTATTTTTACATAATTTTGTGTCTTTTTCATCTCAGTTATAATTCCTGGGGACTTCCCATCACCAAATCACTCGTGTACCATCACCATAGTCTAGTGCACTTCCCTCCCCCCCCGCCGTTTTTGATCTTACTCCCCATTTCACCCCTGTAAAATGTCTCTGGTATATAGTTGTTCATTATTATTATTATTATTTACTCCCCTGGTCCTTTATACTCCTGCTATGAGTGAAACCATCCAGTATTTTTTTCTTTTCTTTCTGGCTTATTTCACTAAGCATGATCCTTTTGCTGGCACATATTTTTAATAGAAATTATAATTTCTCTCTTGTCCAAGATCAGCAGACTGAACTTCCAACTATTTTAAATTCCCTAGACCTCAAAGACCTGTAATTTAATTCAGCCCAGAGTGCCTACCCTAGTACTGGGCCAAGAGAAAAACAATAAACATAGTCTACTTGAAATTCATCTGATCATGTCCTCTCAGACCTCAGGCATGACTACATGAATCATTGTTTTATTTTGGTGAATAAACAGATTTTCTTCCTGGTCCTAAAAGTACCTTGGGTTTGTTCCCTCTAGGATAACTATTGAGATATTCAGAAACTTCCAATCAAACAGGAAAATTCAGGAGGGAAACAGAAAAAGAGAGAGAGAGAGAGATGAGGCTTGTGAGGCTGTTGTTTCCTGTAATCCAAATGTCACCACATCGGTGGGTCATTCTGGTCCTGTTGCTCAACCACAAAGAGGTGGCAGCTGCCTCATCCTGTAGCTGTGGGGTTGCTGGCCAACACCATGGGACGCCACCTTGTGAGTTTCATGCCCTGCCAGACAGCAAAGTGGTAATTTTTCTGGCAGGGAGGAAATCAGGAGGTTTTACAAGAACAGGGGACATGTACAGGGAGTGTCTGGAGGCAGAGACCAAGCAAGCATAGCTAACTACAAAAAGAGTGACTAGTACAGAATGTAGACAAGAAAAAATCAGAGAAATGACCCCTAGACTCCAACTGTAGGAAAGGATCTAAATCAAACTAAGTCTCTAAGCTGGGCTTCATACTTTAGACGTGAGGAAACGTTGGCAGAATCCAGCCCTGAGATTTACCAGTATGGTTGATTACACATCCTTTGACCAGGGAGGAGGCATTTATGCTATCTGGAACATCCTCTTCACACCTACCAAATGTGTGAATGACCTTTTCAATGCTAAAGTTGGCTGCTTTTGACTTCAGCGGAACAGAAAAATCTAATGATAGGAAAGAACATATAGCAATTCTGAAATTAGTCAAGGAACTATACTTTGGTGATTTCAGATGGAGTGAGATAATCAGAAAATTCTGAATGGGAAGGAGAAACCTCTCAACATAGACCTTCTGGCATAAGAGGCACTTGTAATAATACAAGGCATGATCAGACATCCCACATAATTTAAGGGTATTTATATTTTGTCACTTTTTTTTTACATACATGAGTTCCTTTTACTGTTTTTGTTCTTCTTATATGAGTTAAAATTTACAAGTGTGTGAAAGTGAGAATGTAGGCTGGGGATAGGTCTCAGAGAATATCAGCTGAGCTATTAATTTCTAATATTAACAAAGAGTTCACATATTCCGAGTGGAAGGCCCCTGTCACTGCCCACACTCATTGTCCCTTAGGTTTATGCATAACAGAGGTGGGTACACCTCTGCAACCTGACTCATCTCCTGCAGCAGTTTCTGCCATGTGGGACTTGCTTAGCATCAATCACAGATGTATTCAATTATAGGATGTTGGATGGAAGTGAATTAAATTGCACTCCTTTTTTTGGAAAAGTACCACCACCGAATGCTATTAACAATCTGCTCAAATTTAATCTTAAATAGTACATAGTCAATGAATTTTTATTAATGATTAAAAAAATAAATGACTAAGGAAGGGGTCTCTAGTCTTTCACCTAGGCTGAATATTTGCCTTTGTCTACAGCATCCTGATTCCAAGTACCATCTGAAGAAAAGAATCACTTCTCTCACCTTGCCAATAGTTCCATCCTGTGAGACCAGCAAAGTCCTCACCAGAGCTCCTCTCTTGGAATCAACACCTGTCACACCCCCACCACTCTCTCCAGACTTTGGAGGCACCAGCAAAATAGACCAGTACTCCCGGATTCTCTTCCCAGTTGCATTTGCAGGATTCAATCTTGTGTATTGGGTAGTTTACCTTTCCAAAGATACAATGGAAGTGAGTGGCAGTGTTGACTGATTTGCAGGCCAGTAAATATTCCATGAATTTTTATTTTCTGCATTCTTTCTAAATAACATTGAGACTTGTGTAGATGATTTTATGAGCATGGAATCAGAATTGAAGCTCTGTAATGTACAACTTTGAATTGTACATATGAGCCAAAAAGTGATAACATTTCTCCTCAAAACCAAAAGTTGAAGGTGGCTGAAAACCGTGACTTATCAGGGCTTCCCTGGTGGTGCAACGGGGTAAAACACAGCATTATGAAGCTGTCTGCAGCATGAGCTCAATCCCCAGCCAAGGAGATAACCCACATGGTATGGCAGATCTCTCCTATCAGGCCCGCTGCTCCCCTCAGCAGTATATTTCAGTCAAACTGTCAGTTCTATTCTCCGCTCTGTCCCTGGTGAATCCTCTCAACCCCTACTCATTCAGCTTGTATCCAAGGTCTTGTATGCATAAATAAATAAAATCTCTTAAAAATATGTCTTATATATCTACACCTGAGAGAAAACTCTATAAAACAATACAATGGATTTGAGATGAGTTTGCCTTCAAGATGCATTGTCCTACATTGTTCAATGTTTTTAATTGTCACTGTGAGTATCATTTAGTATAAAGTAGATAAAACTATAATGCTGACACTTTCAAAGGTTGCCTTAAAACATGTTTATTTTGGCTTAGTTTTCAAGATAGTAGCATATAAATAGTCTAAATATTTACCCACAGGTTCAAAGCAGCATGTTGGAGGACTTTATGCTAGTAAAATGGCTTTCAGCCTGTATTGAGCTTAGCCATTTGTTTTTAACTTTGCTGTGCTTTTTTACCTCAATGGAGTATTTTGTTTGTACACATATGAATTATATATAGATCATAAATTATGTATGCATATGTATATAGCTTCTGTTGGACTTAATACAGTGTTGTCTTATGTCATTAAGTTTTCCTTTGAAAATAATATGCTCATGATAACTCCACAAAGTTGTAGAAAACAGTGATTATAGGAGGATACTATGATTATATCTTGTGGTTTCCACCTTTCTAAGCATTCCACTAAATAAAACAAGGATAAACAATATCCCTGGATCTGTTTCACCCAGCTAAGAGCTTCTTTGAGTGCAGAGGCATGAAGTGATCACCTTGAACCACAGGTTTAGCATCCCTGATGATTCTCAGAGGTAAAAATATGGGCAGTTGGATTCAGACACCTTGCTCTAAAGTGAGACTTGAATTAGGATTCAAATAATTGATCCCTCTTCTCTGTCATCAACAAATTTTCAGTTATAAGATGAATAAGGTTAGAAGTTCTAATATACAGCAATGGTGACTATTGATAATACTGTATTATTTAACTGAAATTTGGTAAGAGTAGCACTTCTAGGTTCTCACGAAGAATTAAAAAAAGTAAATATGAGAAGTAACAGATGTGTTAGTTTGATGATGGGAATCACTTTACAATGTGTGTGTGTGTGTCAAAATAGCACACTGAAACTTTAAATATCTTTTAGTATTGTCAATTATGTCTCAATAAAGCTCCTATTACATTTCAATCCTTTGTGATGGTAAACTCTATGTTATCCCACAATAAATTGCCACAGGAATGACTGGGAGTAAAAGGAAGCGCATGGTATGTCTTGTCAAAATCAATTTCTTGTTATCTGTTGCTGAGTCTTTTTTTCTCCATAGTTGAGAGTCTCTTATTGATTGATTGATTAAACATCCTTGTTTGTTTATTCACAATATAAAATTTCTCCCCTCAGGTGTGGTCATCACAGTTTTCCCACAACAAAATACCCATTGTCCTGACCATTCTTTTCTCCCCTCCCTATATCTTTTCTCCTTTTCTCTCCCTTCATATCTTTCTCCCATCCTGAAATGCCTGCTGTCAAGGGTCAGTTTTAGAGTTTACATTTGTCTGATCTATTGTTTGATTTTTTAAATATATTTCACATATAAGTGAAACCATTTAGAATTTATCTTTCTCCTTCCAATTCACTGCACCCTTCCAGCTCCAACTCCACTGCCACAAATGGCATGGAATTATCATTTTTGATGGCTGAGTAGTATTTCATTTATTGTATACACAGCATCTTCTAAATTCACTCACCTGTACTGGGATATTTAGGTTGTTTTCATATCTTGGCTATTGTAAGCAGTGCTGCTATAAACATAGGAGTGCAACTTTCCTTTTGAATTAATGTTTTTGTGTCTTTGGGCAGATTTCTATGAATAGAACTGCTGGGTCATAAAGTAAATGCATTTTTAGTGTTGCTGACTCTCAAGCATAATTGAGATGCTGCTGAGTTCTGAGCTTATAAAGAATTATTTTGGTCCTATTCCTCTAGTATTTTTCCAGGAAAAAATATTTCCACAACTAAACAATTTAGAGTTAAACTGAGATAACTGTCTACCAAGGATGAACAAATTACCGTCCATTTCCATATTTGTGATTAAACTCTACATCTCCGGGAGACTTATTTCTATTCTAGATTAGACACCCTCTAGAGGTCCTTCCATTTTGAGTAGTTAGTGTATGTTTCATTAATATTATTTTTCTATTTTAATGTAATCTAATTATGCAGTACATTAAATTAGTAAATACATTTTGTTTTTCTTTTTTTTTTTAAAGATTTATTTATTTGTGCATACAGAACTGGGGTACAGGCTAGAGGCTCAGGGGCGATGAGAGGATTTACCAGAGACAGAGTGGGGAACAGAACAGGCAGATGGATGAAGTACACTGCTGAGGGGAGCAGTGGGCGGGTCAGGAGAGGTCTGCCACGCCATGTGGTCGCCTCCAGGGCAGGCGGAAATCGAACTCATGTGGAAGTGGCTTTAGCTTCTCAGTGCTGTGTTTTAACCCGCTGCTCCACCAGGGAGGGCCAGTACATTTTGTTTTAGTGACTACGTTAAATAATTGAATTCTAGGTTCATGATAATCATCTTATAAGCTTTGTTACATTTTAATTTTCCTCACAACCTGTTAAATATACACTATTGTTTTCTCCTTTTAAATATGAGAAACGAAGGCATGAGGCAGAAGAATATACTTCAGAATGAACAGATACTTGAACAGAGGGGCAAACAGTGAGATGTAAACCCATAGCTTGCTCATTTACCCATAATCATACATGTCTGAATCCCATAAAACTATGTTAATTCATCCCCTCCAGAATTCTTTCATCTTATATTTCATTCCCTGTAATAAATTTTCTGTTATTCTGACATCCTTCCTGCTCCCTTTCAGCAGTTATTCTATATTTCCCTGCAAAGGACATTACTCTTAGTCAGCATTTGTGCTTAGAGCTCAAACAAGTAAGTAAAAGCAATTAAAAGTTATTAGAGGGCCCTCCCTGGTGGTGCAGCGGGTTAAAGCACAACACTAGGAAGCTGAAACCACTTCCACATGAGTTCGATTCCTGCCTGCCCCGGAGGTGACCACATGGTGTGGCAGACCTCTCCTGGCCCACCTGCTGCTCCCCTCGGCAGTGTGCTTCGTTGATCTGCCTGTTCTGCTCCCCACTCTGTCTCTGGTGAAGCCTTTCACCTCCCCTGAGCCTCTGACCTGTACCCCAGTTCTCTATGCACAAATAAATAAATCTTTAAAAAAAAGTTACTAGATATTAATGTGATTGATCCTCAGAAATGGATCCAAACTAATCATTAAGCTACAAAGCTTTAGAAATGTTAAGCATTCTGGAGAATGCTAAGAATATAGATTAACTTAAAATGAAAGTTTCTCTAGTGAAATAATTTGGGGAGAAATAATGAGTCAAGGTCATAGGTTTCTTTACCTGTTGAACTCCGTGGAGCCTTTATGATGCTGACAAGCATATAATTTTATCAGGATAATCTCATATATCTCATATGATTATCCCTTTTGCATAATCATCACAAGAGAGTATAGATATTCGGATTTGGAACAAATCGATAAATGCTTAATAACTGATTTAATTTACTCCTGTAATTAACTTGGACTTCTTGTGATCTTTATACAGAGGTAGAGCTATACTTATCTCTATGAAAATAAGAGCAAACAGAAATAAAGCAGGAAAACTTCTGTAGTCCCCAATTCTGTGATTCATTCTCAGTGCTATAAAGCACATCCTCTACTTCTACCACTTTCTCTCAGTCAGCATCTCAGCTGGATGATACAGAATTATTTACCAGCAGAATTTCTGAAGGGTCTGAATTTAAGAGCAAGATAATCTTCTAACATCCAAGAAAGATTGCTTCCACTACTGAGAAAATCATAAGATAGTCTTGGGGTTCTAAGATTCTCAGCACTGTCCAAATCTACTATTTCACCTGCCAAGTTCCATCCTCAATTTCCTCTTCAATCACTGTCTAGACTTTTTTCATTAGAGAAATGAGTCATGTATGATTTTGATTAAATTGTAATTCACCAATGAGTGTGATTAAACTATGCATATGCTTCTTAAGTGGAACCAGCCCGAAATTAAGAAGAAATCAGAGTATTTTAAGAATATCATAGAAGCACTTGTGCTCTCTTTAACTTGCATAAGAATTTAAAGCTTATACATTTTGTCTATAGATTTTCTAGTGCAGCCAAAAGAGGTCATCCCACCCACAGCTCTCATACTTATCATGACTATGGTAATAAGTATGGTAGAAGGCATCCGATTCTCAGGCTACTTCATCACAACTAACAAGAAGTGGTTTTTCAGTTAGTTGTATACCATGACTTCACATTATGAGTTACTGGTATATCATTCCCTGTTGGAAAGGTAGGGACTTTATTAAAGGTCAGGTTCATGACTATATACATCCCAGCATATCCTGGTATGAAGTACAACTCAGATAGAGAAACAACACCTATCCTTAGCTGGAGGAGAAAATGAGAGGGGTTAAGGTTATCGCTGAAGGAGAAAATGAGAGGGGTTAAGGTTATCACCACCATGGGAAAGAATCCCAAAGAGCTGGGGTCCAGACCTTTAAGGAAGGGACACTGCCTGGGGCTTAATGAGGCTGGAAGAACGGAGAGGGAAAATCAAGTGCTGCTCCAAAGTGGAGACCATTGTTGGGACAGTCTACACAAGAGCAGTTTTAAAATGCAATTATGCAACCCTTCTTCCCTTTTCCCTCTGGCTTTTTAGTTCCCTGCAATGCTGTCTATTTTCAGAATGGTGCAGAAAGTATCTGAAAGGGAAAAGTAAAGACTGCGCAATTCACCTCTGGTATTATATAGTATAGAAAGATGTA